AATTATAATTCGATTATATTATAATACTCTTAGTCGCTCTGTGAACTTTACATTACGAAGTTAGTATTAACATTTACGTTATGTATTACAAAATGTTTATTGTTTTTAATATTTAAAATTCTTGATAATGTAAGATCATATTTATGAGATCTAATTTCTTACAGAGTTCATATATTTAGACGCTAGCAAAAATAAGAAAGTAGTAATTTTAAAAGACATTTGTTTCTAGATAGTCGTATTCATATTTATCTAAGAAAATACATACTTTTCTTTTCCTATTGAATTACTATCGCTGTATTTGTTTCTTATCCTATTCACAAATAATATTATTTATTGAAAGAATTAGATCACATTTATACGTATTGCGGCAATTTTTTTTTGTACATACTTTATATAATGACGTTGCAATCAAATATCATACTTATATATTGTAATGACATTATGTTATTTTAAAGATATACTTTTTCAATTAACTTAATAGTGTCTCTATTATAAAATTATTTTGGATCTGCCAATGCAATTAGATTTCTAATGGAACAATTCAATTGAAATTTTTATAATTTAATCGACTGTTTTTCCAATGGTTGAAATATGGTCAGAAAAAGAATTCAATGAAATTCACACAAAGAATAAATAATGCTAATTAGAATCATTATATCCACTAAAATTTAAATATAATTTAATTTGATCTTTGATGGAATAGCTAATGAAAATTTCAATTAAAGTTGTACCAACGAAATATCCACTGAAATCAGTGGAATAACATATCGCTGGTTTTACATTGCAATATAACAATTTTTTTTTTCTTTCTTAAGCATTAAAATTTTTGTGTTGTAATTTTTCTTATTAATTAATTGTGTTTACAAATATTGTATAACAAATATATTAAACATATGAAACTTTTAGTCTATGTATATTTTTTAGAAATCACTCATTCTTATATCTCAAAATGACTTATTAATTTATCAAATAAATTATATTTCTTACATATGAAATATTAAAAAATAACATTTTTTTTATATATGCAATATTATATTTGTATATTATCTTAAAAACAAACTAATGAAATATAAAAAGTTATTTAAAATTATATTAATCAAGTTTTTTTTTTTAGAAAACATAAAATTTCTAGATACAAAGATAAAAATACAAATAACTATTGTCTACCACATAAAACTTATACATAAAACTAATAAACACAAAAAATTAAATAGCGTTGAACAATTCGACTTGTTCACATCTATAAGTACAATAAATTAAAAGTTTTCAATTCACTTTTATTTACTATAACTTTTCTATTTATTGCTTTTTTTTTTTCATATATTTATAAGTAAGTTTCACAACTTCATTATATTATTAATATTATTTTTCAAATTTAATGTTTTCTTACTTTATAGTTCTTACATATGATTTTTAATATATGTTTATAATAAATACATATGTTAACTTCTAGATTTCTAAAAAATAGATAAAATTAAGTATGAAACTTTTTTGGTCATATATCTTATTATATATTAACTAATTGTAATATCTTTATTACATTATATATAATTACAATTTTTTCATTAATATTATAGTGAAATATATAAATTTATTGTTTCGTACATTTTTTAAAGAAAAACACAGCTTTATTATAATATTACAGATTGGATAAATGGATACTTGGAATATATTTATATAATTTCTTGGTAAAAATTTAATAATTTTCATCGTATATATGCATATCACGATTTCGTGACATTCTTAATTAATTTGTAAGTAATTATATGATCAAAATTAACTAATGTTGCTCAATTGGTGTCTCATTCGACTTGCAAACAAATGGATTGAGCTTTAGTTTTATACAATTCATAAAATTGTTATAATTTTTTTTTTAACCAAAGAAATTGAGTAGATTAGAAGTTTAAGTCGCAAAATAATCATTCAACAATTAATTTTTAATGCTATTACACAATTTATTTTAATTTGAAAAATAGTGACTCTATACTTTGTGGTCGTTATGAAACCAAACAATATCGATTTCAAGATTTTTACTTAGAGGTATTAATAAACTTTCATAATTAAATAAATATTACTGAAACAATTATCTTATTCGATAGGATACTTACGGTCAAATAAACTTGCAAATTTTATTGAGAAAAATATAAAATAATTAAAAAAAACTTAAGGTAATATCAATAAATAAAATATCCAGTATATAAAAATTTTAATTCTCATTATTTATTTTTTCCATCATGGCTAAATAAAGTAATAATAATTGAAACATCATGATGTTTTTAGTTAATTATTGAATAAAAAAGTTTAAATGTATTAAGTATTAATAATAAAATATTATTCACCTTGACATTAACCTTTAATGGCCAAGTGAAGAACAAACAAACAAACAAATATATGACAATTTTGTGAGATCAAAATCCAATCCAATAAAACAATGATTCAATTTCTATGTTAATTAAAGACGCCTCCTTCATCCCCAAAATCCATAAATCGCCGTCTTGCCCTAGTCGTCCGCCTCCTTCGTTCTCGGTCCTCTCTCTGCTAGGTTCCAAGGTCGCCGGAGGTTATTGTCTTCGCCTCCTCGTGAATCGGCCTCGCCTGCTCCGTAGGACCGTCGATGTCGACTTCCCCCATTTGTTGCAGATTCTATTTTGCGGTCTTCTGGGGCTCGTCTGTGTTGGGTCTGGGGCGCGGGTCGAGGCCGGTGAACGGTGTGGTCTTGGTCTCTTCGGATGGCTGGCTGGGCTTGCTGCGTGCGCGGAAGCTAGGATTCGCCGGTGGCCCCCCTGAACCTTGTTGTTTCGTCCTGCTCGGAGCCTTTCCGCGTCCGACGGCTATGGGTGGAGGGCTCTTCGCCGATCTACGGAGGTCGCCGTGGTGGTTGCATTTGGAGGCTGTGCGGAGTTTCCTCCCCTTCGGTTGTTGGTTGGCTCGGTTTGTTCGGTCGCAGGTGCGGGCTCTTGTCTGTGGCGTTCTTGGTGTCGGGCTCAGCAGTCGGTCGAAGGGGCTGGGTCAGAGCCCTGTGATTTCCCTCTCCCAGAAGCCCTTGGGGGTGGTGGGGGTCCGATTCTTTCTGGTAGTGCCGGGGCCGGTTGTTCGGGACTGGCATTTCTGGGGTAGGATTGGTACTTGGTTAGTTGTGTTAGCCGAATGGGGTTTGAGGACTTTTTGCGTAGGCAATCCAGGTTGGCTCGGGTGGGATTTGGGACTTTGGGTCCCGTTTTAGCTAGGCTTGTAGCAGTGGCGATCGAGGTCTCAATGTCTTGATCTCCCTTTAGCTGGCTTTGGTTCTTGGGTGCTCTTGGATGCTTTGGCTGGGGGAGGGATGGTTTTAGTTCTTTGTTTTGGTGGTTTTGTTCTTTTAGTTTTTATTGTGTGTTTTTTGGTGTTTTTTCTTTTCTATGTTTGTTCGTTTTTATTTCGGAGATGAATACAGGCTAGGCATTGTGCAGTGGCTCTGTTTTTCATTTTCCTTTATTTTTCGGTTAGGAGTTCTTTAGGCCGCCTTGTGCGAGTCCTCTCAGTTTGCTATTCTTGTTGTTTTTAGGCGTGTTTTTGGTTTGGGCCGTTGGCCCCTGTCTCATTACCCTGTTGGGGCCTTAGATTACGCCGTTGGGGCCTTGTAATTTGTTCCTTTTGCACTTTGGTGCTATTCTATATTATCTCTATCATTCCGGAAAAAAAAAAAAATCTATGTTAATTCTAGTTGAAAATATTTGGATTCTTTATAAGTATTTATTATGCTATTTTTGTTGGATCAATTTTCTGAAAAAAATTTATATATTAGAATTATAAAATATGATGAGTATTAGTATATTACTAATTTTTCATTTAAAATAAATCAAAATGATGGTCTTTTAGTTAGTTCACTTGTTAATTAAAATATAAGATAAGATTGATATTATTGTAGTACTAATTTGCCATTAAAAATATGTCAAAATAAAGAGTTTTTAGGCAGTTCATATTTTTACAAAGCCACTCGTATTTTTATAATAGTATAGATATAGATAGATAGATATAGATATAGATGTATTTTCATTTGAGGTTATAATATTTGCTTGTTTAGAAACATTCATAAAAATCAACTTACCAAATAAAAAACAAGTGTAGACTGACCATTATTTTTTTTTTCCCCAATGATAAACAAGCAAATATTATAACCTCAAATGAAAATACATCCGACACCTAACTAGGTACAAGTACATCAACAACCAATTCCTTCAAGGGCCACTTTGGCCAAATCACCACAAACTTTACAAACCGAGGAGTGTAACTAGGTACCATTGATCTTACTGCCGGTAGATGATGGAAGGTTGGGTCTGGGAGGTATAGCTTGTAGGGGAAAGGAGTTGCTGCCGGAGTGGGCTACATCTCGGGGTTACACTCGGGGTTTCTTAGGAAGCTCGGTGGAGGCCAACTTGGTTGCTGCAGGGTGGCTACTTCAACCTGCTGTTGATCATAACTGGATGAATATCAAGTGCAATTTGGTAATAAAGAAGCTGTCCTTAGGCTTAACTCTGCTTATCTTTTTGGTTTCTTTTTCCTTGCTCAAAATGAACGGATAAATATTATATGCAATTTGAAAATCAATAGTAAAAATAAACTACAAATAAATCATTTATATACTGTGAAAGTTTGTACAAGTGCAATTATCTAGAGCATATTTAATTAATCTCTCCTACTCACCCACACTTTTTCAAAAAACCCAACTATTCCTAGTTTTCCAGAATGGCTACAACATATTCAGCATTATAAATATCTAACCAACAAGTCCCAAACCCAACAGAGTCTCACTCGAAATTCCTACTTATTACTTTCCATAAATCCGCTCCAAATTCCTACTCATTAGTTTCTGGAAACAATTAAATAACTACTCTTTGATACTCTTCAACACTTAATAAAAATTCATTACATGCGAAAATGCGGATGAAACAAACACAATAAATACCAACAAATCATTTTCTTCTTAAAAGAACAATCTATCTCGTACTAGTAAAAATGAATCAAACAAACTTCAAAAAATTCCGATCACAAGCATCTCCAGCATCGGTGAATGGAAGAAGCCATCGAAAGTAAGGGAAAGCTCGACAGTGGCATCCAGGAAGAAACATGACATTCCCATCCACTCTACTCACCTCCTCCAATCTATTATCCTCGTCCAGGTTGCATCTGAGGATAACAAGAGAGCTGCCCATGTAGATCACATTTGAGTGTGGATCAAAAGCAACCGGCCCAATCCAATGACAACCATCAGGGGCAACCGCTTTGTTAAGCAAAATACCACTAGTCAAATCATAAATATTAATTTTGTGCTTCAAATCCCAACTCCATACATCACTGTTGACAATTTTCTCGAGCGACCATAAGTATAACACATTGCATGATTCATTCGCGTACATAAACCGGTCCATTTGTACCCCCATGCATCCCATCAAGCCATCACACTCTCTGTAACTCAAAGGAAGGCCGGTCACGCTAATACTCACACTCTTCAGATCAAACCGTATGAGGTTCCACGTATCGGATAATCGAAATAAATCCCCATCGAAGTACACCGCGGGATTCAACAATAAACCCTTGCGCACGCATTGGTCCACCTTTAGTTCGCGTCTAGCCCAAATCCTCCCAAACGAATAGTATATGTCTACAAGAACATCACGGTATGGGGACCAGTCCACCCGTACAACTTTGTAGCGAGTTGACCCACGAGAGGGATCGAATGCAAGTGCACCACAAACAAATGTTTGCATAAAAAATGGAGGACGAGGGATTGACACATATTGCCTGGTCAATGGATTACAGACATAATATAGTCTGGAATCTAAGTCCAGAAATAAGAAGGCCATTACAACAATGGAGCAGATCAACCGCAACTGGTCTAAATGGCAACCCAAAAGAGCTAAAGCAGTCATCCCAATGTAATAAGGGTCGTCCTTTCTCTTCACCTTCTTCTAGAGGTAGATAGTTACCAATCATTCTTCTCCCGGAGACTACTGTGGGCAGGCCATCCGTATGAGAATAGGAATAAACACACAAAGCTGATCTCATGATGAATTGAGGATCCGTAGAACGAGCACTGTATGTTAGAAGAAACAGGCCAACTACATGCTTTATACTCCGGCGAACACACATTCGAGAAATCGACAAGTGCCAGTGTTTGGATAAGACTTTGAGGCGGACAAGAGACTTATCCGGCAGTCTAAGGAAGATTTCAAACAAGATGTCATCTGGTAAGCTCCTCATCATTCTGCAGTAGGCGTGGATTGCGGGTCTTCTTTGGCACCTAATACAGCATAAAAGAACAAACTTTACCAACTTTTTTTTTTTTGTTTTTTTTTCTCTTCTTTTTCTACA